GGTGTCACCATAATTGCAGCCTCTCTTCGGTTTCATACCTAAAAGTCCATTTGAATCCAAATTCTCAGGTGGTCTCTCTCAGCTGCCGAGCAGCACAGTGAGTACAGCACGAACGTTTGGCCTCTGCTCCCACAGCAGAAGAGCCAGGACTGAAAGCTGGTGCTCGACCTGTTCAGCACACAATCACCTTTACATCGGTGCCTCCATCGTTGCTTTCACTGCTCACCTTCATGCAGGAAAAGCATTTGAATGGAATCAGTCCAGAGCCTGCTCGCTGCTGCGCAGCAACACAGTCAGCACAGAATGAACAGTGGCATCTGCTCCCACAGCAGAAGGACCAGCAGGGAAAGCTAGGGCTGGGCCTCTTCAGCACACAAGCAGCTTTGCAACGGTGTCACCATCATTGCAGTCTCTCCTCAGTTTCATACCTAAAAGTCCATTTGAATCCAAATTCTCAGGTGGTCTCTCTCAGCTGCCCAGCAGCACAGTGAGTACAGCACGAACGTTTGGCCTCTGCTCCCACAGCAGAAGAGCCAGGATTGAAAGCTGGTGCTGGACCTGTTCAGCACACAATCACCTTTACATCGGTGCCTCCATCGCTGATTTCACTGCTCACTTTCATGCAGGAAAAGCATTTGAATGGAATCAGTCCAGAGCCTGCTCTCTGCTGGCAGCCCAGCAACACATTCAGCACAGAATGAACAGTGGCATCTGCTCCCACGGCAGAAGGACCAGCAGGGAAAGCTAGTGCTGGGCCTCTTCAGCACACAAGCAGCTTTGCAACGGTGTCACCATCATTGCAGTCTCTCCTCGGTTTCATACCTAAAAGTCCATTTGAATCCAAATTCTCAGGTGGTGACTCTCAGCTGCCCAGCAGCACAGTGAGTACAGCACGAACGTTTGGCCTCTGTTCCCACAGCAGAAGAGCCAGGACTGAAAGCTGGTGCTCAACATGTTCAGCACACAAAAACCTTTACATTGGTGCCTCCATCGTTGCTTTCACTGCTCACTTTCATACAGGAAAAGCATTTGAACGGAATCAGTCCAGAGGCTGATCTCGGATGCGCCGCAACACTGCTCAGAATGAACAGTGGCATCTGCTCCCACGGCAGAAGGACCAGCAGGGAAAGCTAGTGCTGGGCCTCTTCAGCACACAGTCAGCTTTGCGAAGGTGTCACCATCATTGCTGTCACTCCTCGGTTTCATACCTAAAAGTCCATTTGAATCCAAATTCTCAGGTGGTCTCTCTCAGCTGCCGAGCAGCACAGTGAGTACAGCACAAACGTTTGGCCTCTGCTCCCACAGCAGAAGAGCCAGGACTGAAAGCTGGTGCTGGACCTGTTCAGCACACAATCACCTTTACATCGGTGCCTCCATCGTTGCTTTCACTGCTCACTTTCATGCAGGAAAAGCATTTGAATGGAATCAGTCCAGAGGCTTCTCTCTGCTGCGCAGCAACACAGTCAGCGCTGAATGAACAGTGGCATCTGCTCCCACAGCAGAAGGACCAGCAGGGAAAGCTAGTGCTGGGCCTCTTCAGCACACAAGAGCTTTGCAACGGTGTCACCATCATTGCAGTCTCTCCTCGGTTTCATACCTAAAAGTCCATTTGAATCCAAATTCTCAGGTGGTCTCTCTCAGCTGCCGAGAAGCACAGTGAGTACAGCACAAACGTTTGGCCTCTGCTCCCACAGCAGAAGAGCCAGGACTGAAAGCTGGTGCTCGACATGTTCAGCACACAAAAACCTTTACATTGGTGCCTCCATCGTTGCTTTCACTGCTCACTTTCATACAGGAAAAGCATTTGAATGGAATCAGTCCAGAGGCTGATCTCGGATGCGCCGCAACACAGCTCGGAATGATCAGTGGCATCTGCTCCCACGGCAGAAGGACCAGCAGGGAAAGCTAGTGCTGGGCCTCTTCAGCACACAAGCAGCTTTGCAACGGTGTCACCATCATTGCAGTCTCTCCTCGGTTTCATACCTAAAAGTCCATTTGAATCCAAATTCTCAGGTGGTGACTCTCAGCTGCCCAGCAGCACAGTGAGTACAGCACGAACGTTTTGCCTCTGCTCCCACAGCAGAAGAGCCAGGACTGAAAGCTGGTGCTCGACATGTTCAGCACACAAAAACCTTTACATTGGTGCCTTCATCGTTGCTTTCACTGCTCCCTTTCATACAGGAAAAGCATTTGAATGGAATCAGTCCAGAGGCTGCTCACGGCTGCGCAGCAACACAGCTCAGAATGAACAGTGGCATCTGCTCCCACGGCAGAAGGACCATCAGGGAAAGATAGTGCTGGGCCTCTTCAGCACACAGTCAGCTTTGCAACGGTGTCACCATCATTGCAGTCTCTCCTCGGTTTCATACCTAAAAGTCCATTTGAATCCAAATTCTCAGGTGGTCTCTCTCAGCTGCCGAGAAGCACAGTGAGTACAGCACCAATGCTTGGCCTCTGCTCCCACAGCAGAAGAGCCAGGATTGAAAGCTGGTGCTGGACCTGTTCAGCACACAATCACCTTTACATTGGTGCCTCCATCGCTGATTTCACTGCTCACTTTCATACAGGAAAAGCATTTGAATGGAATCAGTCCAGAGCCTGCTCCCTGCTGGCAGCAACACAGCACAGAATGAACAGTGGCATCTGCTCCCACAGCAGAAGGACCAGCAGGGAAAGCTAGTCCTGGGCCTCTTCAGCACACAAGCAGCTTTGCAACGGTGTCACCATCATTGCAGTCTCTCCTCTGTTTCATACCTAAAAGTCCATTTTTATCCAAATTCTCAGGTGGTCTCTCTCAGCTGCCCAGCAGCACAGTGAGTACAGCACGAACATTTGCACTCTGCTCCGACAGCAGAAGAGCCAGGATTGAAAGCTGGTGCTGGACTTTTTCAGCACACAATCACCTTTACATTGGTGCCTCCATCGTTGCTTTCACTGCTCACTTTCATACAGGAAAAGCATTTGAATGGAATCAGTCCAGAGGCTGCTCTCGGCTGCGCAGCAACACAGCTCATTATGAACAGTGCCATCTGCTCCCACAGCAGAAGGACCAGCAGGGAAAGCTAGTGCTGGGCCTCTTCAGCACACAAGCACACAGTCAGCTTTGCGACGGTGTCACCATCATTGCAGTCTCTCCTCGGTTTCATACCTAAAAGTCCATTTGAATCCAAATTCTCAGGTTGTCTCTCTCAGCGGCCGAGCAGCACAGTGAGTACAGCACGAACGTTTGGCCTCTGCTCCCACAGCAGAAGAGCCAGGACTGAAAGCTGGTGCTGGACCTGTTCAGCACACAGTCACCTTTACATTGGTGCCTCCATCGTTGCATTCACTGCACACATTCATACAGGAAAAGCATTTGAATGGAATCAGTCCAGAGCGTGCTCTCTGCTGCGCAGCAAGGCAGTCAGCACAGAATGAACAGTGGCATCTGCTCCCACAGCAGAAGGATCAGCAGGGAAAGCTAGTGCTGGGCTTCTTCAGCACACAAGCAGCTTTGCAACGGTGTCACCATCATTGCAGACTCTCCTCGGTTTCATCCCTAAAAGTCCATTTGAATCCAAATTCTCAGGTGGTCTCTCTCAGCTGCCCAGCAGCACAGTGAGTACAGCACGAACGTTTGGCCTCTGCTCCCACAGCAGAAGAGCCAGGACTGAAAGCTCGTGCTCGACCTGTTCAGCGCACAATCACCTTTACATTGGTGCCTCCATCGTTGCTTTCACTGCCCACTTTCATGCAGGAAAAGCATTTGAATGAAATCAGTCCAGAGCCTGCTCTCTGCTGCGCAGCAACACATTCAGCACAGAATGAACAGTGGCATCTGCTCCCACAGCAGAAGGACCAGCAGGGAAAGCTAGTGCTGGGCCTCTTCAGCACACAAGCAGCTTTGCAACGGTGTCACCATCATTGCAGTCTCTCCTCGGTTTCATCCCTAAAAGTCCATTTGAATCCAAATTCTCAGGTGGTCTCTCTCAGCTGCCCAGCAGCACAGTGAGTACAGCACGAACGTTTCACCTCTGCTCCCACAGCAGAAGAGCCAGGATTGAAAGCTGGTGCTGGACCTGTTCGGCACACAATCACCTTTATTTTGGTGCCTCCATCGTTGCTTTCACTGCTCACTTTCATGCAGGAAAAGCATTTGAATGGAATCAGTCCAGAGCCTGCACTCTGCTGGCAGCGCAGCAACACATTCAGCACAGAATGAACAGTGGCAAATGCTCCCTCAGCAGAAGGACCAGCAGGGAAAGCTAGTGCTGGGCCTCTTCAGCACACAAGCAGCTTTGCAACGGTGTCACCATCTGTCGTGGTTTAAACCCAGTCAGGTAATTCATTCGCTCACTTCCCCCCGTTTCTTGCCCTCCCCCTGCTCTCGGAGGGACGGAGAGGAGAATCAAAAGAATGCAACTCCCACGGGTTGAGATAAGAACAGTTTAGTAACTAAGGTATAACACAAATCACTACTGCTACCACCAATGATAATAATGATAAAGGAAATAACAAGGGAACAGAATACAACACCTCACCACCCACTGACCGATAACTCGCCCCCCAAGCCCGACCAAGCTCCGACCGATACCTCCTCCAACCCTGCAGTCTCCCAGCCCTTCCGGCTCACTCCCAGTTACATCCTGGGCATGACGTGCTGTGGTATGGAATACCTCTTTGGTCAGTTTGGGTCAGGTGTCCTGTCTCTGCTTCCTCCCAGCTTCCCCTCCTCCCTGGCAGAGCATGAGGCTCACAAAGTCCTTGGACAAACCAAAACACCTCTATCAGCTCTGTTCCCGAGCCGAAAGTCAAAACACTGCACTGAACCAGCTACCAAGGAGGAGAAACATGACTGCTACTGCTGAACCCAGGACATTATCCACCCCTTATTCCATACCATTCACGTCATGCTCAGATCCCACATTTTCAATATACCATCACTCTTATCTTGGTGCACTCTTATCTTAGTGCATGGACTAGTCCCTATAAAGCTGCTGCGTCCATCTGGTCCATGTCAGGCTCCATCTCTTGTAACAGTCTTCCAGAGCAGCAGAGACTGTGTGCAGTGTTCACACACGTGAATAACCTGGGCAATAGTGTCCATTGTTAAGTCCACCCCTCGATCATGAGTCCATCTCTGTGTTGCATCTCTGCTCTGGTGGCGTGAAGTGCCATGCCCCCACCAGGCTTAAAATAATTCACTGTCCCCTTAAGCAGTTTCTGCAGCTTGTTGCTGGGGACTCCATACAGCTGCCTTCCATCTCCGACGCTTCCAAAGCACTGGAGGGGCCCAGTGGACTAGATACTTGCCCATACTGTCCCACACACCCTGCCACTCATGACTCTCCAGCCTTGGGGAAAATCTCTTGGTCCCCCTATACTGTTGTCTAACCCCAGACAAGACCCAAACCTGACTCTGCTTAACTTTTGAAATCAGACAAAATGGTTGTGGGTAGAACACAGCCTGTGTGTGTGCCAACATGCTGATCCCCATCACAATCAGCAGGCAGGTCCCAAGGATACCCAAAGGCCATTCAGAGCCTTCAGAACTCTCAAACGATGCTGCTGTGCTTGTCACTGGGGCTGGTGTAGCTGCTGTGCTTGCCGGCTCTCCCACCACCGGCTTCTCTTTTCCTGAGTCCAGCTCTTCCTCCTCTGCCTTGCTGGGAAATGCTGCGTGGTCTCCTGCATCCTCCTGGGGTTCGGCGGGTGGCTGCCGGGGAATGCTCTCGGCCGTCGCGGGGCTCGGCTCGGCCGCGGGGCTCGGCTCCTCCGCGGGGCTCGGCTCTGCCGCGGGGCTCGGCTCCTCCGCCGCCTTATCCTGCTGCTTGGCAGCCGCTTCCTTCTGCTCCTCGACCTCCCCAGCCTCCTCCACCGGCAGCCGTCCCCTGGCGGCCTCCGGCCCCGCTCCCGCCGCCGCTTGGTCCCCGGGGCCGCTCTCCCGGGCCGCTTCAGCAGCCGCCGGCTCCCGGGGCCGCTCCCCCTCAGTTCCCCGCAGCCTCACGAAGATGGAGAGTAGGGTGAGGGCCAGGACGGTGAAGAGCAGCCGGACGGCCAGGTACAAGTCCACGGCCACGTCCGTCCCGCCCTGCTGCTGGAGCCCACCCGTATTACAAGCCATTGCCATAAAGCACAGTGAGACAAGAACCTTAGCCCAGGCCCCACACTTGATAAACACTATCACAGCAAATACCGGCTCTACGTAAGTTACAACATTCTGAAGCTGTGAGATCAACAAGAACAACTCTGATACCAAATAAATCAGCACTGTGATGAGTGACTATTAATCCAGTCAGATCTGTCGTTATCTCAACCCTTCGTGCCCCACGTTGGGCGCCAAAAAGAACTGTCGTGGTTTAAACCCAGTCAGGTAATTCGTTCGCTCACTTCCCCCCCTTTCTTGCCCTCCCCCTGCTCTCGGAGGGACGGAGAGGAGAATCAAAAGAATGCAACTCCCACGGGTTGAGATAAGAACAGTTTAGTAACTAAGGTATAACACAAATCACTACTGCTACCACCAATGATAATAATGATAAAGGAAATAACAAGGGAACAGAATACAACACCTCACCACCCGCTGACCGATAACTCGCCCCCCAAGCCCAACCAAGCTCCGACCGATACCTCCTCCAACCCTGCAGTCTCCCAGCCCTTCCGGCTCACTCCCAGTTACATCCTGGGCATGACGTGCTGTGGCATGGAATACCTCTTTGGTCAGTTTGGGTCAGGTGTCCTGTCTCTGCTTCCTCCCAGCTTCCCCTCCTCCCTGGCAGAGCATGAGGCTCACAAAGTCCTTGGACAAACCAAAACACCTCTATCAGCTCTGTTCCCGAGCCGAAAGTCAAAACACTGCAGTGAACCAGCTACCAAGGAGGACAAACATGACTGCTACTGCTGAACCCAGGACACCATCACTGCAGCCTCTCCTCAGTTTCATACCTAAAAGTCCATTTGAATCCAAATTCTCAGGTGGTCTCTCTCAGCTGCCCAGCAGCACAGTGAGTACAGCACGAACGTTTGGCCTCTGCTCCCACAGCAGAAGAGCCAGGATTGAAAGCTGGTGCTGGACCTGTTCAGCACACAATCACCTTTACATCGGTGCCTCCATCGCTGATTTCACTGCTCACTTTCAAACAGGAAAAGCATTTGAATGGAATCAGTCCAGATTCTGCTCTCTGCTGGCAGCAACACAGCACAGAATGAACAGTGGCATCTGCTCCCACAGCAGAAGGACCAGCAGGGAAAGCTAGTGCTGGGCCTCTTCAGCATACAGTCACCTTTGCTACGGTGTCACCATCATTGCAGTCTCTCCTCAATTTCATACCTAAAAGTCCATTTGAATCCAAATTCTCAGGTGGTCTCTCTCAGCTGCCCAGCAGCACAGTGAGTACAGCATGAACGTTTGGCCTCTGCTCCCACAGCAGAAGAGCCAGGATTGAAAGCTGCTGCTGGACCTGTTCAGCACACAATCACCTTTACATTGGTGCCTCCATCGTTGCTTTCACTGCTCACTTTCATGCAGGAAAAGCATTTGAATGGAATCAGTCCAGAGCCTGCTCTCTGCTGGCAGCGCAGCAACACATTCAGCACAGAATGAACAGTGGCATCTGCTCCCACAGCAGAAGGACCAGCAAGGAAAGCTAGTGCTGGGCCTCTTCAGCACACAAGCAGCTTTGCAACGGTGTCACCATCATTGCAGTCTCTCCTCGGTTTCATACCTAAAAGTCCATTTGAATCCAAATTCTCAGGTGGTCTCTCTCAGCTGCCCAGCAGCACAGTGAGTACAGCACGAACGTTTGGCCTCTGCTCCCACAGCAGAAGAGCCAGGATTGAAAGCTGGTGCTCGACATGTTCAGCACACACCTTTACATTGGTGCCTCCATCGTTGCTTTCACTGCTCACTTTCATGCAGGAAAAGCATTTGAATGGAATCAGTCCAGAGCCTGCTCTCTGCTGCGCAGCAACACAGTCAGCACAGAATGAACAGTGGCATCTGCTCCCACAGCAGAAGGACCAGCAGGGAAAGCTAGTGCTGGGCCTCTTCAGCACACAAGCAGCTTTGCAACGGTGTCACCATCATTGCAGTCTCTCCTCGGTTTCATACCTAAAAGTCCATTTTTATCCAAATTCTCAGGTGGTCTCTCTCAGCTGCCCAGCAGCACAGTGAGTACAGCACGAACGTTTGGCCTCTGCTCCTACAGCAGAATAGCCAGGATTGAAAGCTGGTGCTGGGTCGGTTCAGCACACAATCACCTTTACATTGGTGCCTCCATCGTTGCTTTCACTGCTCACTTTCATACAGGAAAAGCATTTGAATGGAATCAGTCCAGAGCCCGCTCTCTGCTGGCGAAAACACAGTCAGCACAGAAAGAACAGTGGCATGTGCTCCCACAGCAGAAGAGCCAGGATTGAAAGCTGGTGCTGGACCTGTTCAGCACACAATCACCTTTACATTGGTGCCTCCATCGCTGATTTCACTGCTCACTTTCATGCAGGAAAAGCATTTGAATGGAATCAGTCCAGAGCCTGCTCTCTGCTGCGCAGCAACACAGTCAGCACAGAATGAACAGTGGCATCTGCTCCCACAGCAGAAGGACCAGCAGGGAAAGCTAGTGCTGGGCCTCTTCAGCACACAAGCAGCTTTGCAACGGTGTCACCATCATTGCAGTCTCTCCTCGGTTTCATACCTAAATGTCCATTTGAATCCAAATTCTCAGGTGGTCTCTCTCAGCTGCCCAGCAGCACAGTGAGTACAGCACGAACGTTTGGCCTCTGCTCCCACAGCAGAAGAGCCAGGATTGAAAGCTGGTGCTGGACCTGTTCAGCACACAATCACCTTTACATTGGTGCCTCCATCGTTGCTTTTACTGCTCACTTTCATGCAGGAAAAGCATTTGAATGGAATCAATCCAGAGCCTGCTCTCCGCTGGCAGCGCAGCAACACATTCAGCACAGAATGAACAGTGGCATCTGCTCCCACGTCAGAAGGACCAGCAGGGAAAGCTAGTGCTGGGCCTCTTCAGCACACAAGCAGCTTTGCAACGGTGTCACCATCATTGCAGCCTCTCCTCGGTTTCATACCTAAAAGTCCATTTGAATCCAAATTCTCAGGTGGTCTCTCTCAGCTGCCCAGCAGCACAGTGAGTATAGCACAAACGTTTGGCCTCTGCTCCCACAGCAGAAGAGCCAGGATTGAAAGCTGGTGCTGGACCTGTTCAGCACACAATCACCTTTACATCGGTGCCTCCATCGTTGCTTTCACTGCTCACTTTCATACAGGAAAAGCATTTGAATGGAATCAGTCCAGAGCCTGCTCTCTGCTGGCAGCAACACAGCACAGAATGAACAGTGGCATCTGCTCCCACAGCAGAAGGACCAGCAGGGAAAGCTAGTGCTGGGCCTCTTCAGCATACAGTCACCTTTGCAACGGTGTCACCATCATTGCAGTCTCTCCTCAATTTCATACCTAAAAGTCCATTTGAATCCAAATTCTCAGGTGGTCTCTCTCAGCTGCCCAGCAGCACAGTGAGTACAGCAGGAACATTTGGCCTCTGCTCCCACAGCAGAAGAGCCAGGATTGAAAGCTGGTGCTGGACCTGTTCAGCACACAATCACCTTTACATTGATGCCTCCATCGTTGCTTTCACTGCTCACTTTCATGCAGGAAAAGCATTTGAATGGAATCAGTCCAGAGCCTGCTCTCTGCTGCGCAGCAACACAGTCAGCACAGAATGAACAGTGGCATCTGCTCCCACAGCAGAAGGACCAGCAGGGAAAGCTAGTGCGGGGCCTCTTCAGCACACAAGCAGCTTTGCAACGGTGTCACCATCATTGCAGTCTCTCCTCGGTTTCATACCTAAAAGTCCATTTCAATCCAAATACTCAGGTGGTCTCTCTCAGCTGCCAAGCAGCACAGTGTGTACAGCAAGAACGTTTGGCCTCTGCTCCCACAGAAGAAGAGCCAGGATTGAAAGCTGGTGCTGGGCCTGTTCAGCACACAATCACCTTTACATTGGTGCCTCCATCGTTGCTTTCACTGCTCACATTCATACAGGAAAAGCATTTGAATGGAATCACTCATGAGCCTGCTCTCTGCTGGCAGCAACACATTCAGCACAGAATGAACAGTGGC